CCCTCGGAAAAGTTCTCCCATCGCCGCCTCGGACCGTTCAAGATAGTCACGGAGATCAGCAAAGGTGCCTACAAGCTCGACCTGCCTCCGCGCTACTCGAAGCTCCACCCGGTCTTCCCCGTCGTCAAGCTTGAGCTTGCCCAGGACGACCCCCTTCGACGGACGCACCGGCTACGACCAACCCCCTCCGGACCTCGAGGACGGAGTCCCGGAGTGGAAAGTAGAGGAAATCTTGGACGCAAGGGTGAGGTATAAACGGCTGAACTACTTCGTCAGATGGAAAGGCTACGACGCATCGCCACGACCAGTGGGTCCGACCCCGCGTCTTCGCCCGGAGAAAATTGCAGAGTTCTATCATAAGTACCCTGGCAAGCCACGACACATCGCCTCCGCCACCTTCGACTCGATTCCGTTGCCGTCTATGCGTCGAGACGCCGCATTCAAAGGGGGGGTGATGTCAGGGGAACCTCCCCTTCGGCCCGGAGACGCGCCCGATTCCGGTCCGATTCCGGTTCCAACTCTGGTCCGGCCCTCCATCTCGCCCGCACAATCACCGATCCGTCAACGCCCTCCCGACGGTCGCCCTGGGACCTCGCCTGCGACACCGCCCAAGCCTTCTGTGCCCGACAGCGGCAGCTACGGACAAGCAGTATATAGTCAGCTCCCTAGCAGGCGGACCCTGTAAGGGCAACCCTGGAGACTCCGACGAAAGCCTAGCTAGCAGGGGAGGATCCAAAGAGAAGAAACTCTAAGGGTCCGCCTGCTAGGGTGCCAACTATATACTGGTCGTCCGTAACTGCCGACGTAGAGCGCAGAAGGCCTGAGCGGTGTCGCAGGCTCTGTCCCAAGGTGATCGTTGGGAGGGTCTTGACGGATCGGTGATTGTGCGGGCGAAGGAGGCCGTGGACGATGGTCGGGGTGGGTCGGAGCGTCCCCAATACAGATATCCATTTCCCATAGATACCAAGAGTACAGGTATGGCTCTGAAAGATCTCAATATTTATTATCTTGTATATGTTGCAATACTTGATACTATATCCTATATAGACTGTTGATATTGTCAATATACCTGAGTATCCCTATGTTCTATGAGAAATACCTATGGATGGTACCTGTATCCGTGAGTACAGGTCTCCATTTCTTATGGATGCTACAAATGCAGGTCTTGGTTTTGAAGCCTAAATTACCTGCAGATAGAGTACAGGTATTTATCTGTGACATCCATGAGAAGCCTTAGCCCATCTTGTCCCACTATTGTTCCACTCAGTTTGAGATTGAGGGGCATTTTAATCAATTTGACACCAAAATCAATTTTTTTGGTATCTGGGGGCTCCTAGTGTACCCAGTGTAACTACTAGTGATGCTCAGGTCCGGTTTGGGAAATTGGTTCAAACCTGAACCGGACCGGACTGAACCCAGGTCCGGGGTTCAGCTTCGGCCAAAGTCAGTTTGGAACCGAACCGCAGCCAGAGTTCGGCCAAAAGCCCACAAGCCAAAAATGGTAGATGTCCAGGTAAATTCAGCATCTCTGTTGTAATCTGTGACTGCCAAAGAAATTGGCATTTGAGCGGTAGTGTGACATGTGACTGCTGAAGTAATTAAAATGCTTTTCATTATCCATAGGATAAATGCTGTGCAGGATTTGTTAGTGGATCATTTGTTAGTGGATCAGGAACTGCCTCTATATGGAAATTAATGGCTGTAAAGGATTGATAAGATCACCCCAGCAGCAAAAGAATGATTCTACATACTTGCCTATATATTCAGAAATGACACCACAAGAGAAATAATGACTAAAGAGAAGTAAAAAAAAAAGACTTTGGCACAATTTAATTGGACCACCAAGATCAGGTAAAAAACTGCCTTTCATGAGTTTATTTGCTCCCTAGCTTTGGCAGACTTGCCTGACTGACAGAAGAAAAATTCTCAGACAGAGCTCTGTATTGATACATGACTAATAAAATCATTTTCATAATGCTGAAAACAGTAAAGCAGAAATGTGCAACTTAGCTAATAGCCCACTTTGATGTGGTCTTCTATCTTATATAGTAGGTCTGCACACTATAGGCACAGAAAACTCAAAGATTTACCATTTTTGGTCAGTTTAGGACCGTAGAAACTTGTTGTGACCTCTGACTGGTACGAAATTTTCAGGCAAAAATGTTAATGTGACCATGATAGGATTAATTAATCAACATAGTACAGTAGATGTTCCATAGATACACTAAAATCAGGAATAGTTACATACTTGACTATAATTGAATATTCCTAGGTAGTAAGATAATGTATTCATAATATATTATATTATATTCCAGTATATTAATATTCAAAGTCTGCACTGACATCATATTATCCTTCCAGAATGTATTCAATATTTATTCAAAAATATTTATTTATGGCCAGGTCTAATTCCATCAAGGAAGATGTATCATAGGACATGCTTATGTAGATTTACGGCTAAGCGAGAACTTCAGAAAAAGTTGTAAGCTACAAGCTTATCTCAAGAAATCACAATGCTTACCATTCCACACAAACAGAAGAGCAAAGATTTTTATGAAACTTCAACAAAATGGGGTGTATATGTGAATCCTTGTGCATCTTGGCTGGTTCAAAGCATCTCTGTTGTTGATCCCATCGGATTGGAATTGGGGATGGACATGATGGCTGCATATTGAAGGCCATAGTTGGTTCAAATATAGGTTTCAGGGCTGACATATCATGGGCCAGCACCTGCATTCCGTGCATCCGAGAAATCACCAAAATGTCGTGATGAACATAGGTTTCAATTTCCACTTCAGTTAGTTGTAATGTGCCTTCACAATCCCAGGCCCAGAAGTATAGATCCTGAAGTGCAGGAATAGTTGTTCCATAGAATGTTGGAGTGATATTTCTGATAAAGAGGAAGATCTCTGCTTTGGAGGAATTGGTCATGAATGTGCCTGACAGGGTGCAGGCATCCCAGGTATCTATCAGGTGCAGGTAAGTTGAGATTCCACTGATTATAACTAAGAGAATTTAGTCCAGTTAAAACAGATGGAAACAAACTGACAGGCAGCTATAATGTATGCTTGTCAATTTCAAAATATGAGATTTGTACAATACAGCCAACATACCAGCATCTGGAGAGCTGATGGTGAGACCTAGAGAAAGTGCCATCTGAAGCATGCTAGCTTCTAATGGTTCACACATGTCAAACCATGTTCTGAGATGAAGAATGTTGCAAGGATTATCCAGATGACTTGTCATTTTATTGATCTCTGTCAATGAAATTCTGGAAAAATTCAATTGAGCATATAACAGAAGAAAAGGCAATATGTAAGCAACCTTGTGAAACTATTGTGGATTGCCCATTGGATCGGGATATGTCCTCTGATGTGAAACCAACTCCTTCCAGCTGGTAATATCTTATCTCTCATTGCTGTGTACAGGTCAGAGATCATGCTTGTATTCAGTTCCTTGTCAAACTGTAGCAGAGCTGGAAGCTGAATAGTCACACTCTGCGAGAGATCCATAGGCAGAACAATTGGCCCTGTAGTGGCAAACAGAATCTCTACAATCTCTTTGGGTGTTAGGTACTTGTACAGCTCTTGTGGTGTTGTCTGTGGAGTGATATGGACATGGCGGACCATGTTAAGGCTCTCTGTAATATATCTTGTCTTCAACCAAAGTGCTGTTTCCTGATTGCTTTCCAGTCCTAGTTTGATCTTCAGCTGTCCTGTTGAAGGGCAGTACCATTCACTATATTGTTGAAATGCATTGGAGTATAGATCAAGACCAGCTTCTGTTTGCAGATATTGGTATGATTCCTATATAGTAATGTTTGTTGAGAAGCACAGGAAAACATGAAATACATACATGGAAATTGAGGCTCTATATGACATTCAAAAAGAAAAAAACCCATATTCCATCACATAAGGATGTTTACATACCATTGACAGTAGCATAACCTTTCGAGAGAAGTTCGAAGTCAGCTTGAAAACTGCATCAAGAGGGATTAACTCTGGGAACAATCAGAAAACCACTCAGTGCATATAGTAATCGTACTTACCTTCATGGTAGATCAGCGCATTGACCGATTTGAATTTTGAAACCCCCAATAACTTCGGAATGCAAGATCTAGTTATGATAGTTCGGATAATCAGTTGGCGGGTCCAAGCAGTCGATGGGGATGGGGTGCTTGCCCTATGTCTTGATGCTCGATAGCATCCTTCTTCCACTACGCTGAGATCAAAACAGGACAAACCAACAAAAAGGTTAGACATGCCTGTTCAAAGTCCGAACCCCCATATTTCATCACAGTGAACCTTTCAGAGCTGGGAAACACCGTGCCGTGGTGAACCGTGATCATTTGGCCAGTTTTGACCGCCTTCACAGTCCCGTCGCGTTTCGTACGCCGTTCCACTACTGCGACTGTCGCTACCGTGGCGCCGATATTCACATGACCCCATTTGATTTCAGGAAATTCTGTTTCATGCAGGGTTAGCACATCCACACAAATTGAAGGCTACGCACGGTCTTCGTCGTCCGACTCTGGCTGCTGCCGCTGGATAATCTGCGTGAAATTCCCCCCCGTTATGTTCACGTTCTTCAGGTTGTTGAAGACAGCAACGCTCCGGGCGTGTCCAACATGCATCGGAGTCGGAGACTTAGCATTGGTTGGCACATCGCTCGAGCGAGAAGCGTGCTCAAGTCCTTGCTGGTGAGTCGTGGCTCCCATGTTTGCTTGCGGCTTGGAAAACTTGGGCGACATGAGGCGCGGGGTCAAGTTTGAAGGAAGTTGGAGCGGGGCCGTCCATATATATGAGAGTTGGAAGCTGTTGTCTGAACATGACTAGTTCTTCGCCTCACGCTGCGGGCCCATGCCCCGATGGACAGATGGAAGCCAGATATAAAATGATTTTGAAGATGTTTCAATTAGCGTTTTACGAGATCTGAAAACAGCACTTCTCAAAAAAGACCATCCGGTTCGCACGCTGCGGAATCATATCTAACCTCACCACCTATCCCAGCGACGGTCGCACGATCTCGCAGCCCTTCGCCTTCCAGCCCTCCTCAATCTTCAAAAGGTTGTCCACGGTCTCCAGGAAGGTCGACTCCGTGCTCTTGAAGTCCGCGGGTTTCAGCCCGAGTACTTCTTCGACACGCTTCCAGTCGACGGGGAGTACATCGCTTTGTGATGGAGCCATCGCCTCGAGGAGGCGGTCCTTCACCTCTGGTCTCTGCTCGGCAAGGAACTCAGCGATCTTTCGGACAGGCCAGCCCGTCGGCGACGAGACGATGATGCGCTTTCTTCCAACTTGGGCGGTCGGAGGGGAGGACAGGGCGGCGACATGAGCGGCTGCGGAGTCACGGACATCGATATAGGTCGTGGCAAGGGGAGGGAAGGCGCCATCCTTAAACAGGAGGTTGTACACGAGGAAGTTGGTGCTGAAGTTTTGTTCGGCGGGGGTGGGGGGGATAGGGTAATACTTGGTGAAAGGGCCAAAGAAGAAGGTGGGGTTGACTGTGAATGTGAGCCAGAGGATTATACAGTTCAAGAGCTCAACTAACGCGTGGTAACGTCGACATGTGGATGTTTGTCGGCCCAATCCCAGAGTGCTCTCTCAGCCAACGTCTTGGAAACAGCGTAGACGACCATTGGATTCTTGCTGGCAAGCGCGTATTCTTTCGTAATTGGATTCCAGTCTGACTGCTGTGAGCTGAAGATGTCTCTAGGCTGCTGGACGACGCACCTTTGTCCGTGTTACCCTCGCCCGTCGCCATGTTCTTCACCGTCGCAATTGAGCTAGTCACGACGACCTTCTTCACACCAGCCTTCTCCGCTTGCACCACAATATTCAGTGTACCGTCAACCGCTTTCTAGCAACCCAGTCGATGAGTCAATGCACAAACGCCACCTTAAGACGCACCTGTAGTTGCTCCTCAAAACCCACCCGCCCTGGCATCGGCGTCGCAAGATGCAGTAGCCCGTCAACACCGACAAGCGCCTCAGGAAACTGGTCGCTGGCAAGGTCGGAGATCTTCACGACCTCAAACGCATCGCCAAAACTCGCGTATGTAGCTTTCAGCTGCTCGGCCTTTTCCCCACGCGCGACTCTAACGACCATTCGGTCACGAATTAGACGGGCAGAGAGCTGACGACTCACCCACGGACACGATAGCCCTTCTCAAGAAGCTGCTGGACGATGTGTGAGCCTAGGAAGCCGGATGTGCCCGTGACCTGTCCCGCCGGTCAGTACCAATCGATTGACGCTAACCTGGGCCGTACAAAGATGAGTTCAGACTTCGCCATGGATGTCGTCGATAAACTGGGTGAAGACGTGTCAGTGAGGGCAAACACGCAGTCAAGACACGTGGAGACGCACCAACTTGAAGCCGCTTTATAGCCACCCCAGAAGCGTGCGCCACGCGTGTAATGGATCAGATAAGGAGGGAATGAGGACTTTTGGAGCGTAGTACGCCGTAGCGCGGAGACGGTCGGGAGGAAAAATGACATGGCAGAGTGACCGAGTTGTGACGCCGGACCTGGAAAAGGACGAAATTGATATTTGCAGCAAATCACGACCTGATTAGGCGCAGGCCGGGAGCAAATTCATACCAGCAGGGAGACATCCATCTGGGCCGAGGAAGATGCTTATCCACAGAAGCTTCCGGAAATCCCGGGTTATTGATGTGTATCGATGACGGAGGAGAGCGGTGTGGTTGTCGTCGATCGATGTATTATGGTGACGGGCCCAGCGTCGCAAGCCGATTTAAACAATTCAAGCAGCTGCGGAAGAGACGCGGGGCTCGGCCACCACTAAACACTCCTCGGCTCTATCATACATTCAAATACTTCGGCGATTCCGCCACAGCCCGATGGTGCTTTGGAACCCAGTCTAAACATAGACAGAATAACCAGCGCAACGGACGATAAGACACGGATTGAAACAGGCGAAATTACCACTTGAGTTAAAGGACAATTCTCTACCTATGTAAGTATCCCGATAGCAAAATGGCAAAACAGACCAGAAGCGAGAAAAAAACACTACTAGATTAGAGTTGGCACATTCCTGTTGGGCTCCCTGTCTCCGCGTCTACGACGGTTACCAGCACCTCCTCTTCCTTCGAATACATATCAAGCTCAGGAATGTCTGGTCTACCTTCCTGCACCGCACTCGAGGTATCGCGGGGTTGCAGAGGCGTGGCCTTCAGTCTAAATCTGACCTGCGTTGCAATTAGCCAATGTCTTCCGCAACAGGTAGCATACCCTCCAGGCGGCGCCTTTGACCTGCAATAATGGCACCACCAGGACGAAAATAACGCCGACGATTCTGTAAATCCATTAACACAGCACGCTTATCCAGGAACGACGGATAATGGACTTACGCAGCCTCGCAACCAAACACCTCCATCGCTCCACGCCGCGTGAGCCACGCTGCTTGAAAGTATACGACTGCAAAGCCCGAGATTGTGCGGAAGAAGTTGAACAGCGCAGAGACCTCTCCCTGGTGGGCCGGGAAACAGTCCTCCAGATATGCGTCTGAAATATATAGATGACGTCGCGTTGCGAGCGAAGGGGAAGTCAAGACCCACAGATGGCTGTTGTGTTGAGCATTATCGCGGTCTGCGCGATGCCCCAGCCCATGATGACTGCCGCAAGGTTGAGTGCATGGAACCCGTATCCCTGGAGCAAGAAGCCGGTCAGATACAACGGAAGCGAGACATAACACATCCTGGTTCCACATCAATCGAGATATTCTACCCACAGACTGAGCGACATACCATAAGCGCGTCTCGGCAAAATGTATTCCGTCCTTTGTGCGGATGCCCACTGCAAGAAAGTAGTCGTTTCCGTAGCGGCCAATAATCTCGCCTAGGATTGTCGCCACCTAAGGCAGTGAGCCGGGGAAGAAACCAACCGAAAGAGACGCGAACGATTGGAGTAGCATAGCTAGACGAAATCGCTGTCTGGTTGAAGCCAAAACCGGTCGGCCGTGGGGTTCCGAGGAAGATGGCGTTGGTTATTGTCATGCCGATGCTCAAGCCAAACTCGATTCCCTGGACAGTCTAGGGTCAGCTGCGAAAGACTATGGACCATGTTGACGTACACCGTACAACATAACGAGCAACGCCTGCGGTCGCCACACCACGCGCAGAGGACTGATTACACACTCTCCCCATGATGGTCGGTGCCGGGCCAACTTCATGCCAGTGACGCCCAGCAGGCTTTCGATGCGGTAGCGCAATTTCGAAGAAGTCTTCGACACCGGATGGTGAGCTCTCCGGTCGTACATTCTGCGTAGAGTTATCAGAGTGGTCATACATTACACGGGAGCACGGACGTTTCTTCAGCCAGAAGCATAGTCATGGCGAGGACTGTTAATGAAATGAAGCATCCAACAGCAAAGGCCCAGCGAAAGCTTATGGGATTAGAGACAGCAAGGCTACGAACAAGGCCACACTCACTTGGCATGGGCGACAAGGAATCCGAGGAAGAATGGAGATAGAAAGGGCGAGATAATGAATCCTGCAGTCCATATATTAAGCTAAACTGCCCGTCAGAAGAGCGAAGAACTGAAGGCTGATAAGCGAAAAACATACTTTGCGACATTGGAGATGGAGCGGGTACATATCGGTAACGGTATACAGCCCAGTTATTTGCGCTGCTGTTGAGAAGAACGATGCAATGCATCGCGTTGCTGCGAAGACACGAAGCGAGGGGGCTAGCGTGCTCGCAATGAGGAAGGCGAACGCGACGAGTTGGGAATAAAATAGCACTGGGAGGCGGCCCCAGCGGCGGACAACAATGACCGCCGCAAAGCCACCCCACCCGAGCAGGAATATGGACCAACTAGATCCGGTTGAGCGCTTCGCAAAAGGAAGAGCTAGAAGCGAGGACTCACTTGGCCGACAGCTCATTAACGTGGTTCGGAGTCGTATCATACTCGTCCGCCAGCGCGAAGACCGTTGCGACGCCGATGCTCCCAACGAAGTCGGGGATGCAGCTCGCCAAGGTGATTATGACCAGCTGTGTCGTTTTCCGTCGCTCTGTCCACTGGGAGAAGGTAAAGTGGGCATGTGCGACCGATAATTGGTGAGGATATTCACGTTCTGAGGGTCTTCAGGGTCGTTGGTGGGCTGTGGCCACAATATCGTGCCTCCGTCGGCCGAGAGTTTCAGTTTACGAGCGACCTCTGTGCCGAATGCCTCCTCGGCCTCTCTGCGCAATGGAAGTGAAGATCGTGCCCAATACACAAGAAGCAGAGAGACGCACCTCGGGTCCATCACCAGCCGTCCCGCATTCCTCTCATGATAGCTCACAAGGTCCCACTCCCCCCGCGTTTGCTGCCCAGGACGCTTGTCGGGGTGCCCATCCTTGCTCGAAGCCGCGCCTATTGCCTTGTTGGACATACACTGAATAACAGAGTAGTGAAGGGGGCCACGGCCCTAGACAGGACACTATCGGTTCAGGGTACAATTATAAGGGATGACGGTGAGAAGCATAAAAAAAATCTTACGTACGGTGGCAATTTCCATTTCTCAAGCTGTCAAATGACGTCTTAGTGGCTTGGCGGATAAGCGGAGACGAATAAGAGAAATGCGGAATCTAATTTGAATCTAATCTATAGTGACGCTTCGTTTACGGACCGCCTTGACTTGCTTATGAGCAGGAACTTTTATTTGTGCCGAAATAAATAAGTATTTAACAGTACTAGCTAGTATCGATCTTTGGCGGTTGCCAGTGTCAAGGGCGATCACGGTGATGATCGCCGAGGTCACGACAAGTCCTTCTCTGCTTTCGCCACCACTGGCAAGTTCTTGGCTGCCCTACCGATGGCGGACGATCTCCCCGCTGAGCTTATCATTCGAATTTTCCTGTCGACCCAAAGCGACTCGCCCTTCGGCCCGCGCGTGAATCCGTACATTCTCGCGAGCGTTTCGGCCACCTGGCGGGCAATTGCCCACGCAACGCCTCTCCTCTGGAACGACATCCAGGTCCATCACCTCCAGAACTCCGCCTTAGGCCTTTTGGATGACTCGATAGCGCGTTGCAGTGACCTTCCGCTGCATCTCTCGCTGTGTTTCCTCTCTGAGGACGAAAGTCTCGAAAACGCCATAGACGACGTCCAATTCCACAATATCTCCACGCGCATTTTCGGGACAGAGCTCAGAAATCGATGGAAGACACTCAGGCTCCTGCTCCCGCGGAGGCATTTCCAGACGCTCACAAAAAGCACCCACGAGCTCATTACACTTGTCGCTGTCGAGCAGCTCGAGCTCCGTGCGCTCAAGCCTGCCGCAGGCCATGGGAACTCCGAGCTGCGGCGCGGCGGGCCGGCGATCTCTCGGTTGCCGGAACTCCTCCTCGCGGCCATGCCCCGTCTGCGTCGCTTGACGCTCGACGGCGTACACCTGAGTCTCGCCGACCTTGTAAGTGTCAAAGCGCTCGCGCGTCTCGAGCTGCACTGGCCCATCGCATCTGGCGTCTGGGAGCTTCTCGCGGGCGAGCTCATAACCCTCAATACCCTTGGCCAACCGCCGCTGCCGACCCTCCATGAATTTCAAATTTCAGGCTCCATGCCCGCGGTGTTCTACGTTGCCACTCAGCCGGGCCTGGCGCTCCAAGCATCTCTCTTCTCCGCGCTCACCATAGTCGACATCGCATCTGCCCCCCCTCCACACGTCGTGCCCGTCCTCAAGACCTGTCGCCTGTCCCTGCGCATCCTGCATATTTCACAAATCCACATCGCGAACCTGTTCGGACGTCTTTCGGCCGCGTCAGCAGCGGCGCCGGATATACCGATCATGCTCCCGGTACTACAGACGCTTAAGCTGACGGGCGTGGCCTGGACATCGTCGGATATGCACATGCTGCACGTACTCGCTCCCCAGCTCCGGGAGCTGCATTTCCAGCAGACGCACTTCCCCGCTACGCCCGATTTCTTGTTTCCCTACGCATCTGATGACTTACTCCCTGAACTCCGTCACCTGTCTCTGAAGGACTGCGGCCTGACGCTCGATGTCGTTCAAGCACACCTTGCTCGTCAGCGCACTGCTTCGTCATTGGTCATCCAGGTGGAGACCTCTACACGCCGACAGTAGCACTCAAGTATGCTCAATGACTGCATGTCAATATGACGGTTGTTATCGTTGGAAACTCGGAGCTTGCCGAGGGTGCCTATAGGTCGGAGCTTTGAGCTCAGGTACACATCTGGAGCTTGTAGCTCCAAGCTCCACAGCATCATTTTGGTCCTTGCTTGGTGCTTCCTCATTGTATAAGACTTCCCATATCTAGCCTAATATACGACCAATACAACCACATAAGTACTAATTAGGACACTTTCTTCTGATTTACACCAGTTTTCTATTATTTAAAATTTTGAAAAATAACTTCTAATGACAAGAATTAAGTAAATTCTGATTGAAGTCTATAACACATTCTGGTCCATTCAAAACAAACAAGGACTAACCAGTTAAGTTCATATAGTTTACAAATAAATGAACAAAGGCAAAAGTTGTGGAAATTGCACAAAAATAAACATGGCATTGATGCACTGGTCATGTCCCATAACCCTGATAACATTTCCCTGTCTATTAATTATTGACCTACATTAGTGTTCCAACCAAACAAAGATATCAGGCTCACTCACAGTGATATTACAATCCAGCCACATTAAGACTTTTGGCCAAACTTCTTCTGCCTATCACTGGTCACACCAGATTGCTTTAGTCCCCAACTGTCTCAAAGTCGTGATTTCTGAAAAAAACTCCTATGTTATATGCTTATATAATAGGATCCTATCCTAATACAGCCATTCAGTATATGAACCTTAGAACTTAGTATGTAAGCCACAACTGATCTAGAAATGACTAAGTTTTGTTAATTAAGGTATTCATAAAGCTTTGTTGATATTTACACTGTATTTCTCGGTGGATTTGACTTTAACTGACCATGATAGTATAAAATCATATGTGTTATCTCTATAATGCATTCCCAATTTAAAAAAAGTAATATACTTGGACTTATGTGGCATTTATTAGTGATTGCCTTTCTTGGAACTTGAAGAGCAGTTAGAAAAAACAAGAGTCACTGCATTCTGTTTTTATGTATAACTTTGGCTGTAACAGACCATGACAGTGGATAACTATTTGCATTCCCTTGGTAAGGCCACTGCCTACAGTCTAGAAGATAAACTTGATAATGCAGCAGGTTCCAGTCTTTAATAACTACTATTAAGTAACTAGTCTAGTAATCTTCAAGTTAATATTGGCAGGATTATCTCGGTGATGCGCTTGCGTCACGCTTGTCAGCGGACGCAAACAAAAGAAATCCTCTTTGGATCCTCCCCTGCTAGGACCTTGATCTCAGGCCTCTGGGGTTGCCCTTACATATTACTGTACTATTTTAATCAGTTCGTCGGTCACGCGTCACACAGGGCTCAAGCCGACAAAATTTTTTCATCAGTCACGCATGTCCTGCAGAAATTTGCCCCAAAACGGTCCATATATGGTAATTTTCCGGCCGATTAAATTCCCTAATGGGGAAGGCGTGACAGAAGTTTAGGTTCGTCGTGCATGTCATGCATGTTGGCAGGTGATGAATTGATTCAAATAGTACAGTAGTGGGTCCCTCCAGGAAGGTTTGAATTTGCTCTTACTCATTCCCTGTATTTTAATATTTCAGTTTGATTTCAATGTGAAGATCTCAAAAGGCTAGTTTGTGTATCAAGTAGCAATTGGTTTATAGTATTACATATCCTGTGGTCAGTTGGTAGCTTCACAAAGGCTTGACCTTTTTCTCATATGTTTTTTTTTTTGCCTTCCCCCTGGCAATGCAGTCTATAGCTTTAGGAGATTATTTTCTTGACAGGACATTTGATTGTATACATAATTACCACCACTTGTTCCTATATATATAGTTCTAATTTTCTATTTTTATTTTATTTATTTATTATTATTATTATTCCCCTTCATTTCATTATTTATAGAGAAGATTTCTACAAAATCATAATTTGCACTGATATAATCAAATTATGCTAAAATCATTCAGCATATCAACAATCTTCAACCTCCAAGCTCTATTCTATGACTGCCAACTCAAGCTCCAAGCTCTCATCCGTGAACTCCAAACTCCCACCTCAACCTCAAATTTCTCACAAAAGCTCCAGTCACAAAGCTCCAAAATGGTCAAAAAGCTCCTGGTTCTAATAAACAATGAAAAAACATGTTATATGTCAACCATTGGTCAAGTTGTGTCGGTCCTCGGAGGAAGTAAAGAATTTGTTTACCGGAAACAACCTTGGATCTAGATAGTACCCAACCACCCTCCACGACGATCGTATGTTACACAGGCTACTGTACAAGTCCCTTGAAAACCCACAGAAAAGATTGAATAAGAAGAGCCATCAGCTCACAGCAGCGCCGCGCCGTGGAGGTTGACCCTGAGGATTATGCTGCCGACAGGATAAGTACATATATCATCGGCGCATTGATACTTACTCTAGAACGTCATATTAACTCCAAGTCGCAACGCAGGAGAGTATTAGTGAACATACCGGTGACAGCAGCCATGACAATGGTCAGCATTGCGGTATCGGTCGCGGTCGTGACGCTGTATGTATCATTCGCTGGAGGGTATGAAGCCGAAAAGAGAGACACATACTGGACGTATACCTCGCGCTCCTTTCCCCGCCCCTTCCGCGCGAGCCGCGCAAACTTTATCTTAAAGAACTCCCGGCCCGCCTCGGCGTTCCGTTCCGGGCCGTCGTACTCCTAGTCGAAGTGAGCATTCAACACTGAGCTGTATGCGCAGGTTAGACCACACCGGAAAGTGCTTCTTCAAGGGGGAAGATTTGATCTTCTGCCGGAAGATATCGTCCTTGTTCAAGAACAGGATCTACTCCCGATGAGCCCTCCGCGACATCGAGACAGGAGAATCAGTCACGCACAACTGAGGTCTCCTTGAACCACTTGGAGTGGCAGATCGACTCCCAGATGGTTATGGCGTCCTGCATCTGGTTCTGCTCATCATCGCGATCAATATTTATAGGGCCAGGAAAGGAAGAACGCACCGCGGACCTATCTTCCACCATGCACTGGTCGTACCCGCTCAAACTGACAACGAAGAGGATGCTTGTCACGTCCTGGAAGCAATGGATCCACTTGCGGCGTTCGGACTTCTGGCCACCGACCTACGAAACCGGTTGAGCATGCTCCAGAGATAGTACTGTAACCCGGTAAGAACGGACGTCGACCATGATCATGTCTTTTTCTCCCAATCTAAATCGCGTTTCGGTGATGCCGATCGTCCGTGCGCGGGTATGGAGAATGTCCTGAGTGCTCGGAGTATATCCTGGTGCGAAGAGCCGCGGTAAAGCGGTAAAGATGTACGATAAACTAACGAGCAGGGCGATTAACACCATGAAATGCTGAAAGAATGAAGATGACGACACACTTTTCGGGCAACGCAGCCTGGTTTCCTTTCGCCCATGCTTCTTTTACAATTGGATCTCGCCATAGCCGCGAAAGCGCCTGCGAGCAATGAGTTTTGTGAAATGGCGGAGATACACACGGTCTACGCACGCCCAAATATTCAAGGGGAAATTCCTCCCCGTCGCGCAAGTCAGGTGCGTTCTCGATAAGTGCTAAATCAGCCTATTGGAGTTGTCGTTGCCAGCCAAAGAGTTGAGAAAGATCAATTACTCACCACCAAGTCATCCCTCGACACACCCCGTCCGTCCTTGATTGATGACGTCTCCAAGCCCTGCACCACCATGCGCTCCTTGTACGTTGAGGCAATGACAGTGCCGCCAAACTCCCCTGGGCCCCAATGTCGGACATAGCCCGCACGCCCCTCTTCGTCACCGTCAGGGTAGACTTCTGAGTAGCCGCTCTCCGGAATGAGGTCCAGTCTGAGGTCGGGCAAGGCATCGAGCAACGTTTTCAGCCCCCGTGTGAGATTGTCGAAGACGAGCTGGCGGAAGTGCTCCGTCTCTTCGGCGGAGAACGGCACGTTGTGGATAATTCGCATCTGCTTTTGGATGGTCGACTTGCCCCCGTCTCCGGCGCCAAGGAGCAGGACCTAGCCGATATTAGGGCGGATGAGACAGCACAAAGAGTCCAGACACACCTTGGTCTCCCGGTCCATCTTTGCCTTGGTTGCCTTTAACTCCTTCTCCGCGTCCCGGTGGAGCTGGCGGTCTTTGTCGGTGACCATGACACCCCCTGACATACATGCCCCCATCGCTGGTGGAGATAGCTCGCAGAGAGTGCACGCCCACTTCAGTCCCTCAAGCGAACCGCCAGTCAGCAGCTATCTCCCCGACGTGGTCAGTGGGAGGAAGGAAGTCAAAGAGCCGCCTGTCGCCTGTAAAGCGCCCTGGAAGCTCCAGGACGAAATCAAGGCAACGCGAAGGATCATAGATGATGGCGGGAGCAGAGTTAGCAGGCGTGGGAGCTTCTAATTGGTCCATCACAGATCATTACGAATGCCGACCCTGCGACAAGGGTGTCGGTGAACGTTGAGGGCAAGTCAGCGTACATCACGGCGGTATGTGCTTATGCTGGAAGCGAATTTGACCAAACACTCGTCTCTAGCCAACTTTGTGCTCCTGCGTCCAAATCCGAGACCACCGATAAGCACTTAGCCTTCCATCTGTCAGAATAACCTATCATGGTTCTGTGAGTCTTCGCTTCCAGACCCGCTGGCAACTCAATTAGCCAAATACACGGTTCCAATTAACAGCCAAGCCGAGGTCTTCTGTAATATTCAACTTCATTCCCTGTGATTGAGCTGCAGCTGGCCACTCAATCAGTGGCGAATGTGGCGTTCGGGCGGCGGGCGCCCTTGCTGCACCCATGCATGTAGTACAGTATTGCGATTGACCTGTGATTGGATATAGAAACAGGAATACGATATAATAATATAGCATTGCTGACCGTCACAGCTACTTATCTTGCACTGAATCGAAGCACTGTAGACTGAGAAATTCGGCTTGAATTTGAGGACATAGAAGCTACACGGAAGGAGCGAATGCGATTGAGATAAGTTAGAGATCGTGTGTATGTAAATGCGATGCAATGTAATGCGAGGGAGAAGAAGTCAGGCCGTTGCGAAATATGTTCGCTTCTTATGCACGGCGCAGGAAGCGCCAGTAACCGGGGAGTAGGTGGACGATCGAAATCCAGACATCATACCAGAGGTATGTTTTGCGGTCCTCATCAACGCCGCGCTTGACGACGAAGCGTCCCCCAACGAATGCGGCGAAGAGGATAAAGGCGTCGGCGGTCCAGCCGTCAACCTCCCATAGGCGCACAACGCACAACGACCAGACCACGAGGGCAGTGAGCAGCGGCGCCCGGGCCTTGTCCCCGAAACGAAGGGGAATGGTCTCCCTCTTGATTTGCGCGTCACCGACGACGTCGCGGAAGTCTTGACCATAGTTTGTCGTGGCGAAGATAATGCCGCTTAACAGAACTGCGAGCCAGCCCGAGTTGTCCAGCGTCGTATGGTTGCTCCCTATCGGTATTGCAAGTCAGTCTCGGCAAAGGGATCAAAAACAAGGCACCTACGGGCAACGAGCGTCGTGCCAGCCTCGATCGACGCCAGTCCAAGTCCGTTCAATATGTATCGCGAGTAGATACGCTCGCTGCCGCCAAGCTCGTTGTACATCCATCCCCACAGCGACAGCAACAGACTGGCCATCAGTGTCTGGGAGCTGTAGGCCCAGCTGAGCATCCAACTGAGAGGCAGCAGCGTCCAACGAAGACGGCGGGCGTTTTGCACCGAGATGCGGCCAGATGGGATTGGTCGGCTCGGTTTGTTTGCGGCGTCTTCCTCAGGCGACATGCTCTGATTCGCGGTGTCAAGCACGAGGAGGTGAATCCAGCACCAGAAGAGCAGTTGTGGGATGTGGGAGAGCGACGTAAGGGGAGCACAAACGAATGCGAAGAGTGACTAGAAAATCCAGGTCGGGTCAGGCACGATCATGCAGAGCCAGCGACTACGTACGACGGGGAGGACAAGGGTCATCAGGTCCCCTTCGGTGAATAGCCAGAGCGTTTTGGCGTGGTAGCGCATCTTTGCGGTCGCGGCGGTCTTTGAACTAATTAACAACGATGTCGACATCAGGAAATGGACACCTACGGCACGCTGCAGACTGCCCTGCAGACTTCCCTGCATGCCACTGCGCATCTTCAACGCCTTACGCATGGCGGGCGAGATCGGTGTCGGCTGCATCGGGGAGGTCCGGTCAATGGTGGCTCTTGGAAGGAGGAAGAGGAGGGAGACACGAACGGGATTTCACGTTTTTCGCTCAGATTTTATCGAGGAGGCCGTTGGTGCTTGCCGCAATCCCAAGCAATACATCATACGCTGGCTTAGAGACGCGCATGATGGGAAGCTGGCGACGTGCGATGCGGAGCCGGTAGATTTGCCAGAACTACCGGATAATCTCTCCCCAGGAACAGAGATAGGTCGACAAAGGAGAAGAGGCGAGATGCGCTGGGAATTCGAGATCAGCGTTTGTTCGCAGAGCACCTGGAGATTTTCAAGGTGGCAGCAGTCGCTACCATCAAATGTATGCCGACACTTTTAGCCGGGGGTGACTCCGTATTCTTGAAGTGCCCACTTCAAAGGTTAAAGGCGACGCCTGTTTCATATTCTTTTTCGCCGAGCCCATTGGGTGGCATTGACGAGATTGGGAGCCAGGTGTAAGTTAAAGCGATGCGACAAAGTGATTAGCCGCGCGATGATGAGATGCGGTCGCTCGTGACGTCAGGTTTTCCGCAAACCTGCGTCGAATCTGAGTCATGGTGCACTGTCGGTGGTGAGGACCATCCAGCAGAAGCATTCCAGAACTACGAAGCGGCGAGGTTGTGAGGATTGCGGCTCGTTTGCGAAGTGGGAGGAAAGTCGCCAAGGTCGAGGCACGCTGCGTTTCTTGTGACACTGTAAGGAGCGGCGAAAACCGACCCGCATTGCATCTTGGCGCCTCAGACGTGAGGACTGTTTCGGGCTGACACACTGCGGTGTCCATTCGATTCGGCGGATGGTGCAGACGCGGCGCTGCGGTAGCGTTGTCGCCGGGCTCATCGAGGGGAGAAAAAAAAGATGGGGGTGACTCATAAGTCACGGCATCACATCGCGTCATAACATCATCTCGACCATCATCTCGATCATGTCCGTCAACCACCGGCATTTTCATTGAAGCCCCCGTGGAATGAACGTGGAATAATCCTGGTAGTCAAAGCTCGAAGTTCATGCGGACAGATATACCCAGCTCAAATATGCTCAGCATAAGTCCAAGCCTCATTGCGATTGAGGCTACCATGATGAATGAACTTCATGGGCCATCGAATCATTCTATTACTGGTAGCCTGTGATTGTCCGGCAGTCGGTACATAGTCAGGATGCATGTACCGCATGTTTGCTGCATGTGTTTCTTCTTTCTCTTCATCGGAAATTGTCATAATCGGAACGAATCCGAACGATTGTTGCGGAATCAAATGGAAACCTGATGCAATTGCTGCGTACCTTCGGCAAGGTTGCTTTGTTTTATAACTCCGATCGGCGTGATGGCTTTCTTGGCTATTGCCAGTGACGTTCCGTGCCGTGGATCGTTGCCAGTGTGGGGGGACAGGCGACTGTCACTGACACTAATGCCAAGTTTGTGCCAAGTCTACTGTAATAAATCTACAGATGCATTCGATTCCATGACCTCTGAGATGCGCCAGTAGCCGGGAAGGAGGTGCATTGCGCTCAGCCAGACCTAAGTAAGCACACATTAGTTGCCACACTGGTGATGTCGATTGATCATGCAACGCAACGCACATCATACCACAGGTAACTACATGCGTCCTCGTCCACGCCCCGGCGAAGGAGAAATCGCCCCCCAACAAAGGCCGCAGAGGATACGAATCCAACGGAAGTGATCGCATCGACCCGCCACAGGACTGCTCCACATGTAGACCATGCGACCAGGAGAGCGCACAGCGCTGCCCGCGATGCAGCCCCAAAACGGAGCGGGATGGTGTCGCGACCTATGGCGGCGTCGCCGACGACGTCCCGGAAGTCCTGGGCGTAATTCGTAGTCGTAAACACCAGGAAGCTGACGAGTACCGCGAGCCATCCCGTTTTATCTAGTGATGTTTCAGTGCCTACCCCCCATGGTCATCAGCAAGATCTTTAAAATCGAAAACATGAGAGACATACGTGCAACGAGCGATGTACCCGCCTCGAGTGTCGCCAGTCCGAGCCCATTCAATATCGACCGTGTATAAACGGTCCGGCCGCTGCCGCCCTGCTCATTGTATAGCCATCCCCACAATGAGAGAAGCAGGCTTGTGCAGAGAGCTTGGGTGCCGTACGCTAGACTTAGAGACCAGCAGAGCGGTAGCAGTGCCCAACGCAGAGTGCGAGCGTTTGCCAGGGATATTCGTTTAGCAGGTATCGGTCGGTGCGGCTTATTCGCTGCATCTTCTGTTGGTGAGACAGATTGATTTGCGGTGTCGAGGACGAGAAGGTGCAGCCATAGCCAGAGAAGTAGGTGAGGCGCACGGGAGGCCGATGTAAGTGGGGCGGAAACTAGTGCAAAAAACGACTGGCAGATACCGGTCGCTTGTCATGCGACGGCCAGTGCAGATAATCACTCACCACAGGGAGAACGACAGTCGTGAAGTCGCTCTCGGTAAATAACCACATTGTCCTTGCGTGGTAGACGAGCGGCCACTGAATCCAGAGATGTCATTAGTAGGCTATCGTGCTCAACCTTGAACCCACCAGAATACTCTCTTGGAATCTCCTCGTCGCTGACCACTGGCAGAGGTTCTGGACCGCACCCATGAATAATTGTGGGATGGACATGGAGAAGAAGAGGGAAGTTGATGTCCCAGCAGGAATTCGTCGACTCTAAGTAGGATGACTCGGCGCATCAGATTGGCAAAGGTTGCCTGATCGTGCAGCGGGTGTCGTCGTAGGCGGTCGAATTGCCGGCGGCCGCAATGTACTTTGCCCTCTTTGCGGAAATACTCGCTGATGTGGGCAATCTAACAGCCCAAACCAGCAATGTTCCATGATAGAATCGGCGGTGGCTGGCCCCGAAGCGAATAGAATCAGCGAGGAAGCGTCTGGAGAAGCTGGGTGCGTTCGGTAAGTGAGGCACTAGTGATCATGACGGAGCACCCATTCGCTCTGGCACTGAGGAGCCTCCTCGTGAACCGCACGACTCGTGCAAGCAACTTGAAATACTTTGAGATCGCCATAGAGAAGGAGAGGGAAGAGCGCCTCGGCAATATATTCATCTGCATAAGTATGTCAGTTGGGTGTCGGCGCATCAGGTCGGCAAACCGTTACCTGATACACAACGGGTGTTGCGATCGTAGGCGGTCGATATGCTCGTGGCCGCGAGGAACTTTGCTTGCTTTCCGCGGTACTCGCTCGCCGAATAAGGCAATGTATGCGCCAGGAACCAGCCCATCGTCTTCTTGTGGGATGCGGGCTGATACTTTGCTGATACTCGTTGAAAACGAGGATTGAATCCCTGAAAAAGCGAGTTTTAATCATGATATCGATGGGTGGGCCCGGAGGCAACTAGATTACAGCCGGGGAAGCATCCGCAGAGGCTGAGCGGGTTCGCGCCGTGAAGCGGCCATTGTGGTGGTTTGGTGGTGGTCAAGACGAAAACGTGGCATGTGATAATGATCGATGCAACGTGTTACAGCATCGAAATCACGCTTACGATTCGGCCTCTTCTTCCCGACCTTTGATGTCTTCGTCGACTCCCCGTCGTTTTACGCTGTCTGCGGCCATGCTGCGCGGCGCATACACATGGGATGGGATGCAATACCGATTGTGAGTGTTACGATTACCTTGGAATGAAATGGGCTTAGGGCCTGCCAGCAAAACCACTCCGCGACTAAACAGGCGCGACAAAGTGTGGGGGCACTGTCGGACGGCGAGGAGACAACGATTGAGTTTGAGTACGTGTACTTATCTCTCCCTGGACCTTCCAACTTGACGACGACAGCTCCGGGTGGTCAAACGCAGGCTGAGCCAAATGTTAACCGTGCTTCTACGATGACACAGCTGTCAGCTATTCTGCCCCAATCTAAAGCGGACTTCATGCCAGGAATTTGACGCCATGGACGCCGGAGTCCCGTCATTTACCGCAACATTTGGCCGACTGGAATGAGGCCTCACCAGTGAAGTTTCCCAGTCCGTCTGGCGCGGCTCTGTGCGTGCGTTGTGCGGGAACCCTCCGGCGAGCCTTTCCTCACAGAGCATGTAGCGGACGTTCGCGACGCGGAATGCAGGAGCCAAATCTCGCCTCGGAACGCCCTTCCGCCCAAGCTTCGGCTTCAAGACCCGCGCTATAAAGTGTTCCTCTCCCGACTATCCTTCGGCTGCCAGCCTGCCTCTTCGCCTGGTCCTTTTCTTCTCGCGCAGAATCTAGGCAGACAAGACACCTGTCGCGCTAGATGCCCCAGATAATAACCATGGCTGACTTTCAAAAGGCCCATCGAGACCGCGAGCGTGACGACCCGCCGGGGCTACAACTAGTAGACGACGACACCATGTCTTGGCAGCATTGCGGCAGCTCCGACTACCATGCGCATGCATCCTCCCCGTTTGCCAGCCAGCACTCCCTCGACAGCAAAGCAGCAACCTCTCTCGGTCACTTAACGCTAGCTTCCACTGTTTGGAATGCGAGCGGTAGCTCGACCGCGCATCTTAACCGCACGCCGAAGTTCCCCGAGGGAGGACGGAAGGGATACCTCGCTGTGTTTGGAGGGTTCATGGCCTTGTTTTGCACCTTTGGGCAGATGAACACGTTTGGGACGTTCCAGGCGTGGTATACAGAGCATCAGCTACGGCATCTGCCACCATCGACGATAGCGTGGATTGGGTCATTACAGCTGTGGGTGTTCTTTCTTTCGGTGCGTCATCTCGTGTACTCTTCAAACCACCAACCGGTTATAGGGCGGGCCCATTGGGAAGATATTCGATGCCTACGGTCCACGCTGGCTCATGGTTGTCGGGACCATTGTCTACGTCCTGGCTATCATGATTACCAGTATCTGCACGAGATATTATCAATACCTATTAGTTCAAGGGCTGTTGTTCGGGCTGGGGGTTGGACTAATGCAAGTGTTATTTGGGTTCAAAACAAAGGGTTGAACGCTGATGTCTATCGTGCAGGTTCTACCCAGCCCTGTCGAGCGTGTCGACTTATTTTTCCAAACATCGCGCCACCGCACTGGGGATTGTTGCTTCAGGCTCAAGCTTTGGTGCGCTGATATGCGTCTTCTTTGCCATGGCTGATCTCTTCAAGGCGGAGTAATGTACCCGATAATGCTTGAGCGCCTCTTTCAGCGAGTGGGCTTTGGCTGGGCTGTGAGGATATCGGGTCTGCTCAGTGGAACCGTGTGTTGTGTTGCACTCGCGACCGTTACCCGTTACGCCCCGCCCAAGCAACGCAGCGCCAGCACACGCATGATCATAGCCGATACTATCCGCGATTCGCGGTTCGTTCTCCTTGCCGCGGGAAGCTGCTTCGTTGCACTCGGTGAGCTTGCGTGATTCTGCGTTTCCATGAATACTAGCTTAAGACTAATATTAATGCCTCCTAGGCTTGTTCATCCCCTTCATCTTCATCGTCGAATACGCACACGACATTGCCATACCCGCCGACAAGGACTTCACCGTGCTCGCTGTGATGAATGCCGGCGGAATTGTGGGGCGCTTCGTGCCCGCATACCTCTCCGACCGCATCGGCCGCTTCAACCTCCTCGCACCATCAGCACTGCTCTCTGGCCTCCTCTGCGTGTTCCTCTGGCTCTTCGCGCGCTCGCTAGCTCCGTTATTGGTGTTCGCAGCGCTGTACGGCTTCATGAGTGGGGCGTTCATTAGCCTCATCACGCCATGTGTCGCTCAGATCTCCGATATACGCATGATTGGTAGTCGTATCGGGATCTTGTATAGTATCATTGCCACCCCGTTCGTCCTCTCAATCTTCATCAACCACTTTATTGATGGGTTCATTGCAGCGCAGTCATTGGCCCACCCGCTGCTGGTGCGCTATTGCGAGCCTCAGGCGCGAGGTCCGAGGCCATATACACGGGCATGATCCTCTTCTCTGGCCTCACCGTCATCGTCGGCGCATGTGTCATTTTCTTGGCGAAGCTTCGGATCGATAAGCGGCTTCTCGCGCGAGTGTAGCGTAGCTCGGCCGCTGCGAAGAGCGCTTAATGTTTACTTTTTCAAGCTCGAGTGCAGCGGCCCGGGCTGTCGTAATGCGTACTACGTAGCGACAAGGACTGACTCAACAAGCATCGGTGGCCTATGGCATATACATTTTGGGACGAATGACCCCTTTCCTCAGGATAAGTATACATGCAGCATGCTTTGGGGAATGGAAGTTGATATATAAGTAGTTGAATACATGCCAGTAAACAGAAATGCAAGGAATGCAACTACTATAGTTTCATTGGATTGAAGAACATATTTATGTAGAAATTTTATCAAGGTAGTACAAAAATGTTTGTATGCCTAAGTACCATGAAGCCTGTTGTAATATCGCTTACTCTAGCGAAGTCCGGGCGGATCACTCAGCCCGACGCTGACTGATCCCAGTCAGACTTTAGTAGAACTTACTAGAATATTCATTAGTAGTATAAATACTGTACTACTTTACAGAATAAACATTGAACTTCTCTCCTGTTCTTTCAACAAAGCCAATATGTAAGAACATCTGTTTTGGGCTGCTGCCTATTTACCCTCACACCTTCAAGGGTTGACTTATCCATGGGTATCATGGATATGGAAAGTTCTATCCGTATCCTTACAGATAAAATCTGTGTATCCACACGGATTGCATCTATCCATGTCATTCCCTAGATATATTATGTCCAAGGTATAAATGTATGAAAGTAGTATACTAATATTATAATATAAGATCGAATAATATTACAGTGGTTCTGGCCACACAGCATAAGATAATCACCATTTCTCATGCACATCTATATGTAGCATTCACAGTGGGGGTTGCAGCCAAAAAATAGTCTCCTCAGCAGGATTTACATAAAATCAATAGTGGTCTAAAACAATGGTCTTTCTTTTGCTGTTTTGATTGATATGCAATAAAAGTTGCAAAATTTATATCTCATTTACAAGAAATCAAATTCTGCATTAGGGTATCGAATGTAGCATATATTGCAACTGCCCCCTTCCTGACCATGTTCTGGGGCCAATTCTTACATAAATCATGGGCCCTGATTTCTGTGCATGTGACTTGAAAATTACCTTATTTTGTAATTTTCGAGTCACGTGCACAGAAATCCGCAGCCTTGATTTAAATCCAATTGGCTGACCACATTTGGCACTGGTTTTCCCACAAAACAGTCCTGCTTCAGGCCCCATTTTGCACAAACCCCTCGTGTGAAAATTGTCAGCTGATATTGGCAGTAAGTTATGCCACCAAATCAAGTCTCACACTGGAGTTTCTGCCAAAAAATAGGCCCTGAAGTAGGATTAATTAGGACAAGAAAAATGTATATTTTTGCAACCTGGAACAATAATAAATAAAACTCCAGGAAAATAGACATGATTTGGAAAGAATTGGGGCATATATTAAGTCATCAGATTGGACTGAACTCAGAGCCAATATCAGCTGACAGTTTTGTGGCAATGATTTGCAACAAATAAATGCACCACATATGTTACAAGGTATAAGACCATATATATCCAAAATCCAGGCCAGCACCAAAGTGTACCTAATATATCAGAAATAAGTGGCAAATTGCCATTATCCCCTTGTATATGACAAATTGGGATAATAATAATGTGACACTATTTCTTTGACAAATATTTGGGCTTGAATAATGTGCACTTATTGTTTACAAAACAGGGTCAGGAAGACTGGCATGGGGTACTGTCCTATTTCGATCAAGTGTCCGGGGGGTATAACACATAATGCACTCTGTCTGGAGAAACAGGTGTCCAGAGCCTGAGGGAATGCGTAACAGGTCAAAAAATCTGACCGTGTCCGCATTGATAAATGCTAAGATTTTGTTCCTTTATTTTTGCCTCTAATCAGACCTTTAGATGTAATTTGAAGCTAAAATGGCCAAATTGAAGACTTGGGAAAACTTTTGAGTTTCTATCCCACTTTTGACCAAATCCGTTACTTACTGTCTTGACATTGGGGATGGGCACAGATACACGGATTATTATGGGTAGGGGGTCCGGTATCCACAGATTTATCCGTGCCCATCCCTACCGGACATGGCTGTAACATGTAACACTCCCCAAATGGGTCCTGTCCGGAGGCCCGCGTAACGCGTAACCCGGACAGTTGATTGAAATGATACAGTAGTCATTAATGTATGTGATATTTGGTACCATGATATAGAACTTGATTTCTTATAAATCAGATACAATTTTTGCAGCTTTTACTTATTGCATATCAATCAAAGCAGCAAAAAAGACCATTGTTTCTTCCATATAAATCCTGCTTAGGGGACCATTTGTCGGCTGAAAGCCTGGTGTGTCTACTTCACTAAGCTGTTAAAAAATTAAAAACATACATTTTTCGTCTACTATTTATCACAAATAAATCCTACTTCAGGGCCCATTTTTTTGGCAGAACCCCCAGTATGATTGTCACACAAGTGTTGAATCCAATGATGTTCCTTACAATGAAATATTCATTTAATTTAATCTCATTTTGCAGTCACTCTCTAAAATTTAAATCTCTCTTGCACCTCGATCACTCTGTCTTGTTTGGGTTCATCAATGTGAAGTTCAGTAGATACAGTAGGACAATGCAACAATAGCTGCCATCCACGCCACGGCCGAATTGGCGCCGCTTTGCGCACATGCGCCACTTGTACTTTTTGTCGGTGCCGGCGGCCGAGTCCCGCTGGACCCCGGGCCGGAGGCGGCGGGCGTGCCGCCGAGCGTCGCGATGGGGACGACCACGCCGCTGACCGTATTGGTGTGGCCCGGCACTGGGACGCCGGGGACCTGAGGGAAGGCTTGCACGCAGACGGCCCCGCCGTGGCCGTCAAACTTGCAGTCGTCGAGCGTGCCGGCGAAGCGCGTGCTGGCGGAGGGCGGCGCGCCCGGCGGGAGAATCTCGGAGGCCACGAACCCACCGGTGCTTTGCGCATAGAGGACTGTGTGGTGGTCATGGTTACGGTACCGGTACCGTGATGTGGAGGGAGGGACGTACAGTCGAAGGTGATGGGCGTGCTGAGGAGAACCTGGGTGTCGCTCGCGTCGACGAGCGCCTGGAAGCTCTGCACGACCTCTTCGAGGTAGGTCGTCTGCCCGTCGGGGCCGAGCGGCAGCGCACTGAAGGAGACGGTCTCGGAAATGACGACGCGCGTTGCCTCGCTCGTGGGCCCAGGGGGCACCGAAACACCGAAAAGTGTGGTCTGTGCCTGTGCTAGAGGACTGGGAGTGAGTCACGGAACAGTAGCTGAGAGTGAAGAGATGCACCGAGGGCAAGCAGGCTGAAAAGAGCCAGAACCTTGGACGAGCCGGACATGGCGGGTGGGAGGAGGAAGGAAAAGACCCTGCACGTCCTGCGCAAATCGCGGACCATCAGTCAAGGGAAGCGTCCCAATATCGTCCTAAGCAGGCGTGGGATGCACTGCATATGTAAATTGAGTAAAAATATCCTCGCTGTTTTATTTTCTCACCCCAGCTCAGCTCGGCGATCAGATTGTGTATCGCGTTACGCGTGTGACATCGGCTGATGGCGCGTGATAGCGATTTTCGCCGGATGCACGCGTCTTGCTTCCTCCTCCCTCCCGCTCCCACTCGCCCTCGCCGCCGCGCTCTGCGTCATCCCCATCGCCCTCCTGGCCGCCAACCACGTTCTTGGCCGCACTACCACCGTTCCTCCTGGAGAAAAACCGACGAGCGACAGAAGTCAGAGGAGGAAGATCATGCAGCCCGCACGCGACGACCTCGAGCCGCCCAAAGACGACCCCTTCACGCTTGCGCAGCTAGAGGCTTTCAGCGGCGCTGACCCCGCAAAACCGATATACGTTTCTATCAAGGGTCCGCTCCCCATGTTCCTCCCTTTCCCTTGCGACGGACACTGACAATCCCGCAGGAACAGTCTTCGATGTCACGCGCAACGCCGCGACGTACGGCCCCGCCGGCTCATACGCGCTCTTTGCGGGGCGCGATGCGTCCCGCGCCCTGGGCATGTCGAGCCTGAAGCCCGAGGACGCGCTGCCCGACTACGCCGGCCTCGCGGAGAAGGACCGCAAGGTGCTCGACGACTGGCATGCGTTCTTCCTGTGCGTAGTCCCCTTCTCTTGCCGACGGAGGAAAGCTGATCGGTGATAGGAAGCGGTATAATGTGGTCGGCAAGGTCGTTGACCACCCGACTTTGTTGGCGGAGGCGGAGGCAGAGAGGGCGAACTTGTAGTGTTTCATAGAGGCGTTATTTTGGTGCGGGTCTTCTTATGCGTCTTACGCGTTGACTCAATTTGTCTCCAGAATATTATTGTACTTGTATATCGTTCCCCAATTTGTTTTCTCCTCCCCACCCTTCGTCCGCGCCGTCAACTCCCACGTCCTCCACGCACCGTCCACCCATTGCAAAACAGCCGTCGCACGGAGCATCCCTTGTCGTGCATGTGCCGACTTTTTCCCTCATAGGCTTCGATATCTGCCTTGCCATTGCTTTGAACGAATCGTGAATCATCGCGGACATCCGAGTCGGCGCCAGAGACAATGTTTTCCTTAAGCCAGTTACTTATCCTGGTTGTTTGTTTTACTCGTGCCCGATTCATTGATGGAAATCCAGTCGTACCCGTCGCTCTACTGCGACTTCACATTTTCGGTACATATGCCACCATCGATCGTCCAGGTTTCCCAAAGGGACCGTGTCCACTGCATGTCCGTGTGTGTGTGTGACGGTAAGTGACACGTCAGTCTCTCTTCCTCGTCCTCACGACCACCACGCGGTGCCTCCCATGGGCTCCTGTGCGACCTGCGACTTCACTCCGTCCTACTTGCTCCCATCCGACGACCAGACGGCCGCGCTGTATGCCCTCCTCCGCACCAATGTTCCAGCGGCGGAGGTGCAGCGACAAAAGTTGGAGACGAACATCGCTGCAGGCCACGGGGAACTCGGACGCTACGACGGGGCGATAGAGGCGCTGCTCAGCCGTGCCAAGAGCCTGCGGCAAGAGCGAGATCGGCTGAAGAAGCATCTTGCGGCATGCCGCAGCGCGCTGTTCAAGTTCTCGCCGATCCGACAACTTGAACCCCCAAATGAGGTGTTGCTGTTGATACTGGAGATGGCTGCCCGGAGTCAGGCCAGTATGTACCACCTCCGGATTGACAGCAGCCGCCGCAGGAAGCCGATGGAACGACTTGCGCGGGCTCACTTGCATGACTTGGCTGGGGTGAGTTCGGGTCTCCTATGCCCATTTCAACGCTCATATGGGGTAGGTGTGCTTTAGATGGCGCAGTATTGTGTTGGGCACCCCCTCTCTGTGGAACACTATCATTCTCAATACTGCAGGCCTGAATGATCATCGCAAGTCAATCGACATGTGCAGTCGGCAGCTTCGGGCCGTTTTATCCCGCAGTGCAGATCTGCCATTGACAATACGTCTTGGAGACAGGTACTCATACTACCCAGGGGAAGACCCAGGTGTGCCATACATGGAACCATTACTTCAAATTCTAGGTGAAGAATCCAATCGCTGGAAAGATGTCACACTGCCCATCGCTTTTATGAGAAATCTGCACCCAAAATTGAAGCTTAATATCAAGGACAATCTTCCTCAGCTTCAACAACTTGCTTTATCAGGGACAAAATACAACAACCCTACTGGGCCTGAATTTCAGGGGTTTCTTACTGCACCAGAGCTTAGAACATTTTCCTTCTCTGGAAATGTTCAGGACATTCCAATGAAAATGCCCTGGAACAGGCTCACTTCAATTGACTATCATCTTGTTCATATATTTCAGCTTCAAGAGTGTATCTACTTGGCTCCTTCCTTGCAAGCACTTTCTTTAGGGACATCTTTCACACTTGACGCCACTATCTTCTTTGCCAGAGGGCATCCTCGGCCCTCAAGACAGATACACACACGGATAGCCAAGTTAAAAATATTGCTGGCAGATAGCAGAGAATCGACAGACTATGCCTCCAGAATTCTAGATTACTTCACAACTCCACATCTCATTGAGCTGGCACTAGAGTCACGCAAGAATGTCATTTCCCCACACTGGGAGAGTGTGGACCTGACAGCTTTTGCAATACGCTCTGGCCTGGGCAACTCTCTTACAAAATTTGTCATCTCTGGCAGTATCAGTAGTATATCACTACTTGATTTTCTTGATAACATTCCAAGGCTTGAAGCACTAGTTGTTGCTGATGATCTCTATGGCGGCAGGGATTCTTTGGTGACAGATAGCCTACTTTTAGGGCTGACAGGCCACACTCCAGAGGGGCACTGCAACTTGGTCCCAAAGCTCAACCATGCTGAATTCACCACAGATAGGAGAGGATTCCACAATGATACTTTCTTTGCATTCCTTGATGCACGCCTGCTCAGCCTGTAATTTATTTGAGCTGAAATATATGTGGACATACTATCACAAGAAAGAGCCTAGTATCATGCTGCAGGAACTTCAGCAGCAATATGGAAGTCACTTAGTGCTAGAGTTTATAAAGGCACCTATTGACTAGTATGATTTATATATCCTACAAAATGGTTATAATAGTCATGAGCAATGGCTTCAAACTATGTGCACTTACCTTGGTTCCAAAAATTGAAAAATCTCTCACATAGCAAAGATTGCAGATTGACATTTTGGTTTCTCTTTGAGTCTTTTTCCTTTTCATTCTGAAGTAGTTCATGTATTCTCTATGATTTTGTTCTCTATCATTACAATTGATACAGATGTGCCTATGGTTCAAGTAACTAAGGGAAAGTTTAAGTTGCCAATTATGTAGTTCTCCTTTACAACCCCAGGTGAATTAAACAGAAGGTAAGAAATGCCTGATAATCTGTGGGACCGCCAAAAAAATTCGGCATATTCAGCGGCCCCGTCTGATATTCGGCATCTGAATAATAAGTTGTGACACGCCGAAATATTTCGGTGCCGGAGGTCCGGTGTGACGTGTGACCGCCAAATTGAATAAATCAATACAGTAACGTACTCGGCCTGTACCACACCGTATTCATCTGTACCATATACAGCATATATGGTCGTATACGGTGATTGCACTGATGACACCACATCAGCTCAGACCCATACCAACATCTTCATCATGCCATCGCAAATCCCATATGGGCCGGGAAGGTGGCCTGGGCGATATCGACGTGAAAACAACATGCCGTGTCACAAACAACACCAATTCAGAGGATGCCAGTTGGCCAGTGAAGGCAAGCAAGAAGCACCGTGAAATGATATTGTAAAGATGATGGAATTCAAAGACTGGGGTACAAGACGAAATCTACTCTACTTATATATACTACTACCATGTGTTTACCATGCCTAATACGAGAGGCAATGAAACCCCTCCCCTACCCCGTTACTATCACCAATTTTCCTCCCATCCCTTTCCCACGCCTCTTTCCTTCTGCTTTAGGTCGTCTGCTCTAGGTTCTTTTATTCTTGGCTAGGTACACTCGGAGACGACAATCCAAGGGACCCACTCGAGAGGACACGCGCTTCGTACTTGCAAGAGAGACATCTAGCCCAACCCACTTTCGTAGAGTCATAGCTGCTACAAGGAGTGCAGGGGCAATCTTTGGAGAACCCTAGTTCGTCCAGCACAGGGTGTGTCGTAGAAGGCCCCGGTGGATTCCTCTCACATAACAGGTCTCTTGGACCCCCGACAACAAACTCTCCGGTCCATCCTCTGTGGCGCTCTCCACGCGCTTTGATCCCTGACCTCTCGTCAGGGGCTCCTTCTGAGGAGTCTTCAAGAAATTCTACACCCGCTCTCTCTCCCCTATCCCCTCTCCATTCAACCACTTTTACCTCGACTCTCTTCCTCCTTCCCCAATCTCCGCCCTGGCTACTCTTGCCATTGCTCCTACCCCTGCAACCGTACCCCAACCCACACCTGCACCTGCACCTGCACCTGCACCTGCACCTGCACCTGCACCTGCACCCCAACCACCAACCAATATGTCTTGCATCATACTTGCGAACCCCCCCTCCTCTCTTCTCTGGCGAGAAATCGCTTTGGGAAAATTTCTAAGATTCCGTCACAACCTATATTGTGGCTTACGCTGATGCGCTCGATACGGATCATAAACAAATTTGGTTCTTGATCTCGTACCTTCGATGCGCAGATGCTTCCGCATGTACGGCAGCTGACTGGGTGCGCAATTGGAAAAAGCGAACCCTTAAGAATGGTGTGCTGGCAACTACCTATACATTCGACAACCTCATTGCGGAGCTGGAACTCTCGTTCAAGGACACAAACGTGGCACAGGCGGCGCATCTAAAGCTGACGACTACTTGTCAAAACAAGATGTCGCTGACCGATTTCTTCCAGTCATTCGAATTGCTGGCAGAACAGGCTGGCTATAGTCCCAATGCCAAGCCTTGTGTATACGATGTGTTCCTAATCCAGCTGCTTGAGGAATTAGTCAATACGGAGATTACCGGTCCTATCTATGTGGGAGGCACTGCCCTGCCCAAAACCTATCTGGAATGGAAAGAGCGTCTGATGCAGATCGACGCAAACTTGTCTTGGAACAGGCTGCCACGGACAGATGTTTGGATTCATTCCCCAGGTCCAACGTACTCTGCCCGCCGCCCTACATGCCCCAGTACCACAAGCTGCTGCGCCTGCCAAAGACCCCGATGCCATGGACGTCGACTGTGCTCGACAGAAGTGGAAACCTCTGCGCTGCTTCAAAATTGGCCACATTAGTCGCAACTGCCCGGACCCCCCCTCAGAAAGACTTGCGAACATTTTAGCGACGTCACGTGCCCTTACCCACGGCCAAGAAAGGCAATTGCATACGTGTCGCGCGCCTCCGTTGGTAATGATGCGCCGGCCTTCCTAAAAGATCACATAATGTAGTTTATTAGTTAATTATGATACATTAAATCAAAATCCCGGGGGTGGCATGAACATAGGCGGGGGTGGATATGTATAAAACAGTGCAGGGGGGGGATAATGTGTCGGAGGTGGAGGTGCTTGATTGAAAGCAGGATAACCGGGAAATGGAGAGTAATATGGGGCTGGGGCATAGTGGATTGGGGGCCCATAATGTAAGGCGGCACTTTCACCTAAATTCTCAGCGTCTGAGTCATCGTCCGTGCTCGTAGGAGGCGTTGCTTGTTTGCGCTTCCGTTTTGGTCGGCTTGTCTTTGTTACAGCCTTGGCCTTGGCCACCTTCGTCTTTGTTGCCTGTTTTTTCCTTGGGCCATCTGATACCACCT